ACCTTGTACGATTAGTTTTAACAATTGTTCATTATATTTAGAAGATGTTTATAAAATGTTATTGTTATAAAAAATAATTTAAAGAAATAATTTATAATTTGTATTTTCGTAGTTTTTTTCTAAGAGCGAAAATAAATTCATGATTAATCGTTGATAGTGCTTGAAGTTCTTTCTTTTTTTTTCATTCCTATAAGTAATAAGTAATAATTGTTCATGAGAATCTCAATAATTGTTTTATGATAAATGCAAAATTCAGAGAAAAGCAACAGGTAACGAATATGATGGGTTTCGCCAAAAAAAAAATGCTTTTTATGCTTCTATTTTACTTGAATTATGGAAAAAATTCATAAATTTATGTATGATTTACCCGATGATACCCGACTTTTTAGCCGTTCATTTAATCATTCAATTCCAATACAGAATTCGTCAGTCATTTGTTATTCTTACATTTTTCCGTTATAGTATTTGTAATAACGCAATAATTAATTAAATATAAACTAATTTTTATGAATAATTAAAAGAAAATTCAAATTTTTAAAACTAAATTAATCGCTACTTCGATATCGCTTTTATATCAATTAAATTTTCAACGATTTTCAATTTAATGCATTAATAATCAAGTTTATTATTTGATTGTCTCCAAGGAAGCGATTCTCCTATTTATCGCTAAAATATTTTGTAAATATCGCGACGAAAAGTAATTTCTTCGAGAAAATAAATAAAAATTCCTCTGAGATATAAAAATTTTAAACGTTTCCCACTTATGAAATTAATTTTAAATCTTTAAGAGAAGAAAAAAAACTAAAATGCGATGAACGATTCATAAAAGTGGAATTTTATGTTAACGCTGTTTTCCTCTTCTCTTCTTAACAGCACTTATCATTTCTGGTTTAGTTGTCTTCACTGGCTACTTAGATTGGTACTTAGAGAGTCACTGATGGGTAGAAATAAGGCGAATATGGAGTATCACCTGAACTTTTCGAATTTGGCCGAACTATTTGTGATACTTGTTGAAGTGTTGTGCTTGTTAAAATCGACTCAAAGTAATAGTAAAAGTAATAAATAATAAAGCACCGCACACATCTGCATCGTACTTTAGCCATGAAAATTTTTTGCAACCATTGCAACTCAATTCATTTTTCTCCTACTGTACTACACAAGCGACAATTATATCGCTATCGCTAAACTCGTAGATTTTTCGCCATTATTTTAGCCCATTTTCAGCACAAAATTGAGCACACAAAATTTTTATATCCTCTATTATTGCAATATTATTAAAGCATTCGATGATCCAAAATTATGGTTTTGTTGTTAATTATCCTGTTTTGCTGAACTAACTATCGATTTTTGTTGCCAGTCGAAGGTATTCATTGCCAGGAAAACCGGTTAATTCAATAGGGATCATTATTGAATTTTTTTTTTAGGAATGAATTATCATAATATTTACTGTGATGAATAAATTATAGAATTATACATTTTAAAAAAGAAAATGCTATTTTTATAAAGCATTATAAAGAAGCGAGGTGCTTACCAAATGGATTACCTGCCAGGTGAATTGTTTGCCAGGCGGATTACTTGCCAAACGAGCTATTTGCCAGATTTCTGATAAGCAATTTTTTAATATAAATAAATTTGAATCAAATTAATATCGAGTACCGTTTGGCATAATCATGAATAGCATGCAATATACCAGTGGAGTTCAGATCGAGTAAAGAATTATTAAAAACAACAAGCATACTGAATTGAAAAATACATAGGAGTGTCTTTTATGAAAGAACCTCATTTTTTCAGGTTTCTTCCAAAGGCTTAAAAAATATCTTTGCTTTCTTTAAATAATATATAAGACTTAATAACCGAGTCTAGACAAGTGAAGACGAGTGAAGTCTAGACAAATGAATGTAAGGTAATTCTATGTGTAAGAATATTGCACTTGAGACAGTCATGAAAACAATTAATATATAATTTTTTAACAATCTCTCATGAAAGAATCATGAATCTAGGCGAAATTAGACTTAGCTATGAAGCTTAACCAAGAGAATGACATCAGTACCATCCTGTAAATTTTTGGTTTTGTTTAAATTTTAAGCTGTTTTGATGAATTTTCAATAAGTAGTATCACTTTATACTTATTTTTTTCGTCTTTATAACTGCCTAATACATAAACATTTTACATGCTACTATTGATTTGCCTTTGAATTCACCATTTCACCATTTTTATGATTATACTCATCAATAAATTTGATAACGAATGTTAAGGGGCAGAAAATGAACCTAAGAAGTTAGTAATCCTTTTTCTTTAATTTATAGAAGTGTTTTAGGTACCAAATACCAGGACAGAGAATAAATTATTAACTTACGGTTGTGCCCTTTAATTTATAAAAATATTTTAGATACTAAATGCGTGGGCAAAGGTTCGAAGTATTTGATTGCTTCTAAATAAATAATTAAAACAATTTTAATCGAAATATTGCGGATTCATTTAGGAAATATTTAAAATATTTTAAAACATTGTTCATTTTTTATTTTACATAAATTCTTTTTACACAAAAACAAAATTTGATTCGACAACTCCGTCAACGCCGTTGATTATCGTTTTCAATCGCTAAAGTAGGTCGTGCATCGCGCATGCATTATTATAATGGGAGAAAGGATTGTTTGAACGAATCAAACCGACCAACCAACCTCAATAATTTTTCATATCGATCTATTGATGCATAATTAACCTTAGATGAGCTAAAATTAATTCCAATTCATATCACTTTTTAAATTTTTTACTATTTTAGTATATTTTAATTTGTATTGAAAAAGAATAAAATTGCAAAAAAAATGAGAAAGAAATTTATTTTTTCTATCATTATTAAATATATTATTTTACGTTATTCATGAAGTTTTTGTCGTTCGTTAAATGATAATTTCTAAAAACTTATTTGAGAATTAATAAACACAATAGAAATCAAATTTATTGTTTATTCAATTGTAATTATGAATTTAAAATTCATTAACTATTGAATATTGAAATTTATTAATTATTATTTTTTAGTTACTAAAAATAGATTGAAAAGAATAGATTAAATTCTATTATTATTATATTTTCATGATTCAAATCCGGAAAAATCCAGAAAAATCGCGGGAATTGATAGTAAAGAATTCAGTTTTTGAGAGTAAAGTATATAACCCCTAGTAATTGAAAATGGTGACATTCATTTGTTCAATGAAAATGATTTTCGTGCGAATTTATATCGTTGAGTGAATGACGCTGCCGATAGTTGATCGTCGCAGTGAAAAAGATTTTACACAAAATCGAACCCAATTCACCTTTTTCTTTCCAATAAATTACTAGAAAAATATAGCAATGAACGCTAAAGGTAATACGTCGCTTAATAGTAAATTTTTTTGTACAAATTTAATTACAGTAGTTGCAAATGAAAAATGAATTTGATTTTCTCATTAAAATATTTAAGAAAAAAAAATTTTTTTAAAAAAATAGATTTGAAAAAATTCGAAAAGAATTTTTCGATAAGTATTCAGCATGTTTGGCTAACTGCATTGATTACTAAAGTGAAATCCTTTTGTTGGGGAATCATTTGGTGATAATTGTGGCAAATGGATCCATCCATTTGCTAAATTTTAATTTTAGCAAATTTTTGTTTATTCAAATTAGAAGGCAAGAAATATTCCATGAAATATGCAATAAATGGTGCAAAGTCACCATTATCGAAATTAAGTCACCGAAATTAGCATTAGTTTTCATATTTTTTTAATTAGTAATTTGTCCTAAGTTCTAATATTTTCTCACTCTTATTATTGCAAAAATTTCTATTTTATGCTTTTAGCTTAATAGATAGAAAATTGCCATTAGCAACACTATTTCAAAATCCCATATATTCTCTTAACTACCTTAGACTGCCACTTAGCTCTCTTGACAACCTCCTCAGACGTGTTTTAATTCTACACACTTCTAAAATCCCTTTAATCCCTTCAGAAATATTCCATATTGCATTGATTCTGTTGCATTTTTTGCTAAAACCCAAGGGCATCTCCTTACATTCCTTAGATTTTCACATGTTTTTTTTCGATTACATATTTAAACAAAAAGTAAAAATAGTGTAAAAAAAGACCAAACTGAGCAGTTTAGAAAGATGAAATGCTTCCTTTTTAGCAGTTTTTTTCCCGAAAATCCAATCAAATCGCTTTCATATTGTGAAATTGTCTTTTTTTTTAACGTACTTTTGGCTCACAAAATTTTCGTATTGTTTTTGCAATTTTAGAAAATTTAAATTTTATCAAAAGAATTTCAAAATAATAAAAATTTCCATTTGAGTCTCCATAAAATTTTCAAAATTTGAGAAAAATTGTTCTCATTTTTAGTATATAAAATCGATGCTTTCCAAAATTTTGCACAACACAGTTAACGAAATTTTTGAATTTTTAATTAATTTTTATATTCTTGTTTGTGGTTTTTAAGCTGAAACTGCACAGATTAAAATCTCTACAAGTGATTTAAATTTCAATCATATAAATATATGCGATTTGAGTGGTATTTTACAAAAAAAAAGTTATAAAATAAAGCAAAATCTTTCATGATTTGCAGTAAAACCCACTAATTGCATTAAATACAATACAGTTGAGAATTAAAGAAAAAAAGTATATGAATCCAATATGGAGAAAAATACATGGCTTAGGAGCGAGCAACTTGGAGACGTCTTACCCCTATAGCCAGCGGAGTCAGCCTAGTCAGTAATAGTAAGAACTGTTAGAAGAAGAAGACTAAGTTTGTTATTCTTTTCAGTTATCGTTTTTCAGGGCAAGTTATGAAGAAGTATGTTCATGGGGAGTCTCATTTGACCGTCTAATGAAAAATCGCTGTACGGTTTGCGATTTAGTTCTTTTTTCATAATAACAATTAGCTAAAATGAAGAGACAAACAAGTACCACTAACACAATGAATTAGTATATCCTTAATAGAGAAAAAATAATAAAAAATGACAATTTTGTCGAAAATGTTAAAAATTCTAGGTGGACAGAAATATTTTGCTGAATTTCTCAAAAGTGAATATAGTGATGAAAATATTTTATTTTGGCAAGCATGTGAAGAATTAAAACGCGAACGAAATACCGAGAAAATCGAAGAAAAGGTTAATTTTTATTGGATATCGTTCAAAAGGTAAGAATGAAGACGAGGAGAAGAGGGGTGTGCGACAAATTTTAAACAAGTTTTATTCTAAAAGGTCTTATTGAAGGTCACTGCAATGATTTTAAATATATTTTATAGCGCATTTTTATTTATTGAAATTTATTAATTAATTAAATTTACTCACTGACTTGAAATATCTTTAAAATCTTAAAATTGATTATTAAATTTGTAAAAATTGAATTCATAAAAAAGAATAAAAAAAATTGGAAATAATTTGAACAATTATTATAAATATGACTTACAATAGAAATTGATCATAATAATTAAGAATTCATCAAATAATTAATAAATAATAATAAAATAAAGTTTGATAGATTTAAAGAGAACGTAGAAACTCGCTAGATGATAGCTAAATGATAGTTAGTTAGTTTGACTGCCTAATACTTCAACTCAACTAACCGGAATCGAAATGTTGTCAGTTTTATGTTCATCATCATAACTAGATTTGCCGTGTGGTGGTGGTGGTGGTCTCTTCTAAACAATAATATATTTAAAAATATTGTAAAAAAAAAGAAGAGTTTTTCATTTTTAAAGTTTAATTTTAAATTAAGGCTCGAATAATTTATGAAGATTTTATTTCAATATTATCACCAAAAGAAGTGTCGTTGGATTCGCGAGTGAGGGAAATAATAAATAATAATATGATCCATCCATCGTCACATACCTTTGATGAGGCTCAAAATCAGATTTACACATTAATGCAGCGTGACTCCTATCCAAGATTTATATCATCATCATTGTATAAAAAAATTCTCGAATCATATGGACAAATGGAAGAATTGTGATCTCTTTCTTTTTTTTGTGATTACTGTCGTTAATAATTATCGTAATTTTTCTCCATCAACCATAAAATATTTTTGTATTTGTGTCCCTGTTTCGATTCACTTCTAGAAAGTACACACAATATATACAATACATTCTATATTTCACTAATTCTCTATAAAATTTGCGCAAATACTTCGTGACAGTCATACGAATAACCGGTCTTATTGCCAGCCCCCAAATAATTCGCCCCCTTTGACGCCTCCTTTTGAGTCTCCCCTTACTGGTTTTTCGAGTTTAGTGCCCAGTGACGTTCTCTATCTTCTCAACATATACGAACCGTCAAGGACCGGATAGTTGGTAAGCCTGTTTTCCATTACTCGCTTTTCATCTTGTCCTCTCTTTCATTATTATTATTCAACAACGCCCCTCAACATCATGTCTCCATCTCAACATTTATGCCCTTTGACCCTTTTTTACTATTTTACAGGTCCGATTGATTATGAAATTGGATTTATACGACTCATCATCATTGGTACTTAATTATTCAACAATGTCACAGCCACAGTTCCATCTTGATTCATCATCGGTCATCAAAACAGCGCCACCGGGTCGTCAACAGCATGATTTTTCACCTAAAAATGAACCAATTGATTTAGCTCCACTCACTCAACCAAGTTTGCAAGATTTGTCAAAAATGCAACCCATTGAACAATACTATTCCATGCCCTCATATCCAAGAGTATATTCCGAATATGCTATAGGATTAGCACATCCCGCAACACAAACTTCTATAATAACCGCACCATCAACTGCTGGACCATTGTATTATCCAACTGTATTTCAAGGACCAACTCCACAGGAATGGAACAGACCGATGGTTGATAATTATAACTATCAGAGGACAAATACTCTCCAATATTCACAAGAAGTACCACCACAGCAGCAGCAACAACAACAGCAAGAAAGAGTTTATAAGAGTGTAGAAATGCCGTCACCAGTGGATTCTGGTATTGGTGCTGATTTATCAATGATGGCTCAGACTAAAGATGATTTTTATAATGATACCAATGTACTTCATACACTAAATGATCGGCCTGAAAGAACTTTAAGCCACCGTGATTCACCAATTATTATACCGAAAATGTTAGTCGTTTAAAAAATTCCATGAATTTCAGGAATGCTACCAAAATTTATTGTACTGGCAGTGTTGAACGAAATAATAATGAATTTTAAAAATTTTTTAAATATGTAATTTTAGCGAAAATAATTTGGGCTTTCAATATGTACTTGAGGCACCAATATCAACTTCAGTTCGCAAAGAGGATGATAGAATGACTTATGTTAATAAAGGTCAATTCTATACCGTATCGCTTGACTACATTCCTGACCCGTGCAAACCGCTAAAAAGCCCCACTGTCAAGGTTCGTAAAATTCTATTTCGCTGCTGCTTTACTCTTCCTAAATTATTTCGTTTCTCAACCGAACTGCATAAATAGCTAACAAAAAATTTTTTTAATATTGGCAGTTTTTACAATATTTTTAATGTTCTTTAATGCATAAATCATTATATATCTATTAAAAAATACAAATCGAAAATCGATGTGGATTGATCAAAATATCATTTTTAATAACGAACGGGTGATCACAATTTTTTTTTTGTTTTCCAAACCATTTTGGTGTGCTTAACTGAGATGAAATTACGATAATGCGTTGTAATACTTGGCTCTATCACAGTATATTAACTCGGTTTCCGAGTTCAAAGATATTTTAATGATAATTTTAATGATAATTCTTGAATGATTAAAAAGTTTTCCTTCCAATGAATGGCATTACGGATTCACCTATATTTTTATCTCCAACTGTGATTCTCTATTGATAATAAAAGAGATCGCATTCTGTTAGTGGCAACCAAACCAAAAATGGTGAGCGCTGTGAAAAAGGAAGAAAGTTTGGTGCATTGAGTCACCAGATTTTTAATTTCATTTATTCGCCGAATTGATTTCTATTTTGCAATAATTTTAAATTTTAAACTGAATTCGTTCACAGCATTAATTTCATATGTCACTACTATTGTTGTACTATTGTGGAACGTTGAATCGCTATATTTCTCCATCTTCACATAACCAATTTTCCTCATTCTTCTTCTAATACCATTATTAATTAGGTTCGCTGCGCTGGCTACAGGCGGCTCGATTCGATGCCATACCTGAGAAAGCACTCCTTTTTCATCGCCTAAGCCTATCGCTGAGTTGTTCAAAAACTTACGTTCAACTATTCCTTTTTTAAATCAATTTTTAACTACAACCAATGGATATTTTAATTTTAGTGGATAATTATAGAGTCAGTTAATGATAGTCTTTCGAGAAGACAAAAGTTTTGAAGATGAATTAAAAACCTGGCAATTTTGGCATTCTCGACAACATTCGGCTAAACAACGAATACTGGAAGTTGATGCTAAAAATAGCTCAGGAATGATAGGTCAAGTTGAAGAAATTGCTCATAATGCTGTACAATTTTATTGGAATCCTAGTGAACAGCAACAATCGAGCGTTAAGGTAATTTATTTTGGCAAATCTCCAATGCATACTTTGCCTCATTTCTTTTCTATTTTAATTCATCCTTTCTTCTTCTTATATCTTTCCTCATCATTTTCTTATTATTTGCATTATAATTATCATCTTCATATTCCTTTACTCAACAAATAATAAATAAAAATAGTTACTTTTTTTGGTACTTTTCGGTTATCTGGTCCATACATTCCGGTAAAGAAATAAGGATTTGATTTGTAGTAGACAAAAAAGAAGGCGACCAGATTGTTGATGCTGAGGGTATGAAATATTGTATTGAATTAGCATAACATAGCAATGCAAAAAAAAACGATGAGACATGAAATAGTTGTGGAGAGATAAAGTAGGAGAAAAGTAATAAAAAGTGAAAGGAAAGGAGACTGAAATGAAATGCTGAATAGCTTCTATGGTACTGTAGCAGACAACCGAAAAGTACGAACTATGAACCTTTGCAATGAATTTTAATAATTTATTTTATTTTAAGACATTTTAATATTTTAAGATAAAAAATTTTTAAAGCTTATAAAAGAACATTTAAACGGTGAAAATATAGACTTAGATTACAATAACCTAAATAAATTTTGATAAATTTAGATCAGTATCGCTGTACAATGTCTTTCAACAGATTTTAGTAATCAGAAAGGGGTCAAAGGTCTTCCATTGCACATTCAAATTGATACGTACGATGAGAATGATAACAGTGATGTTCCTTTTCATCGTGGCTATTGTCAAATTAAAGTTTTCTGCGATAAGGTATTTTTTCTTTATAAATGTTACTGTTATATAATATAATGTTATTGTTATGCTATTAATTTTTTCAGTGACATTACTTTACTTTCATTACTTTCCCCATTAATATGGATAAAATAAAGAAATAGGCTTTTGTTTTTGAATTTCTTAATGAAAAGGTTTCATAAAAGAGTAATGAATTTCTAAGTATTACACCATTTTACTGCATGCATGCGTGATGAGAAAAGAATGTTGCTGATGGCTGTTGATGATGGCTGTTAATGGTGATGTATATGTCTCGCAGAATCGATATGTGACATTTATATTTAGTTTATTTACTTTAAATGATTTTCTATGAAATAATATTAGACAAAAATATTAAATTTAATAGGGTGCAGAACGAAAATTGCGCGACGAAGACAAAAGGGCACAAAAACGTAAATTAGCAGGTAAAAGACTACTCGCTAGCTATATGTATGTGTATGTGTATGCGTGCTTTTTGTCCAACGTCCATCTTCTGCGTGTCATTGTTATAAATACAATATGTCCATTGTGTCATGTCAATTAAATGTTTCTAACAATGGCTTTATAAGCTTTTTAGGGAGCTAACCGGAAAATGCTTCATGAGACACGAAGAGATGAAAAGCGAAGAATTCAAGGTAAACAAATCAACGAATATAAGTGTTGCTCCTTCTTCAAATAAAATAGCTTTTTTAAAAAACGAATCTTATTTTTAGGTCGAAAAAAATCCGAAGGTGAATATCACGAACCATGCGAAAGATCTGAATTTTACCATATGAGTGATCTCACTAAACGTGCCGCATTATTTATCGCGCCTGATGAATACGAATCGCGATATATCGATACTGGATTAGCGTTCGATCCTTTATCTGAATTGGAACCCGTCGCTAAAAGGCCACGTACATCAGAAAGAGGTTTTTCGCCTTATTACTTTAGCCTTTTTTCAGGAAAATCATCTCTAAAAATCTATGTTTTAGTAATGCTGTACGTTCGTAAACGAGAGGAATCTATTTTTATACCTTTACATATCGTTCCACCGTCAATTTCTGGTCTAATACAAGCAGTTGGTGAAAAATTTGGTGTTGAAGGTGAAAAGGTGATCAAAAACTTTAAAAATTTAATATTTTAAATTGAAAATTCTGAAAAGTCAAAATTTATGGAATCGAAAATTGTAAAGAGGAGACGAAATGAAAAGTAAATTTTGGATAAACCATGTTAATTTTCAGATAGCTGGTTTATATAAGCAATGTATGAAAGGTGTAACAGTTAAATTAGATGATGATATGCTAAAACATTATTGTAACGAAGATACATTTATTATCGAAATAGAACAAGCAAGTGACGATCCATCGTGTTGTACTGTGACACTTATAGAACTTCCTTCTTCATCGCAAATTGCTCCACAACAACAACAACAACCTCCATCATCACATTACACTCAATCTTCATAGATTAGATTTAATTTTCAATAAATTGTTATAATATATTATTATTATTTTATTAATTACAATTATAACGACGGTTAAGTACCATTATTATTAAATATTTTTTGTGTATATAATGATGATATGTTTGAAAAAAAAAGGAATGAAGGGTATTTGTTTGAGATAAGCCGAAATTCTTAACGGAAATTTTTCGCTTTGCCTTTTTTTCTACAGCACTCAGCGTTTCTGGTAAGGTTGCCTCCATTGGTTACTTAGTAGCGTAGAGAGTCGCTTAGGAATAGGAGTAGAGGTGGGTCGTCGCAGCGGCTCTGACCTGTTCGACCCTATTAATAGAAATCTCAAAGAAATATCCAACAAAGTATTCTTGTATATTTATGTATCTGTGATCTTTTTTTCCACTTTTCTTTTTAGAACAGGGCATTAAAACTTAGATATTCACTGTTAGAAATTTTTTTCATCTGTTTTTTCTTAAATTTTAAACTAATTTCATCTAAAAACTAATTAATCTTTTTTTTTTTATTTTTCGAAAAAAAGAATTTTCCTTCCCTTTAGAACGAGGTATTTATTTAGAAACATGCATATAGTTGTCGTTAGCAAAAAATCGTTATTAGAACGAATAAATATAAACACACGCATAGATGAATATTGGCTGTATGATACGATGTTGTAACGCTGTGTTGTGTTGATAAGATAAGTTTAAATCAATCATTTCTGAAAGAATTTCAAAAAATTTAAACGTCGGTTGGAAAAATTTTTTCGCCGATTTTCGATGTGATGTGACTTGTATTTTTTAATTTTTCAACTTTTTGCATTTTAAATTCATCGAAACTAAAATTTAGTTTCGATGATAATTTTATTTATAATCCGTGAATCGTTTCATTTGAACTCTTCTATTTTACCTAAAATTAATTTATCAAATTAGTTTTTATTTTTTTAGTAAAAAAAAGATTTTGTGATTATTTGGGTTTTCAACAAAATGAATTTCGCATATCCTTTTTTTTTTTAATTGAATATTTTCTTCAATTTTAATTTTATGTAAAATTATAACAATTGAATATCATTTTCTCAGATGAAAGATGAAAAAAAAGAATTTTTTTTATTTTCTTACGCGCAAATGACTACTAGAAAATCCGTAATGAAGATGATCGTCGTCGCTTCATCATCGTCGAATCTATGTTTCCTTTAATTCCTTTCATGGTCGAACTTATTACCAATCTTGGTCATCATCTCACCACATCGCCTATTCCACCTTCTTTCTTTAATCGTTTCTCTCGCCTATGGCATATTCAAATCTCCGCTCCGATCGTGGGCTCATATCTTTATATAACCTGTTTACGTGTTATCTATATATTTGCAGTTCGTTGCCAATGAAAACAATATATTTTGATAATTTTTATAAGGAATTCGGACTTTAATATTTTGGGACCGTAAAAATCAGAAAAGTGAATATTGATAAAGAAATTGATAAAGGAATTGGTAAAGGAAATAAAGAAATATACCAATTTGTAAGATTATTTATTACATGGGAAAAGACCAGTCCTAGAGGCCCATGGAAATTCTGCTTCATTGAAACGTGAGAGGGAAAAGTAGAGAAGCACGACACATGAGTGCGAAAGATATTTGTTATTATTAAAGTTTGTTGAGGACATATATCTCATAAAAAGAGATGCTTGCAAGTGATATAATTTAAAATAGCCAGATATGATCCAAATGAGCGCACTCGCACCTACCAATTGTATATTTTACATTCGAATGCACCTAGCGGCTCTTGTTTTACCAAATTTTTTATCAAAAATATTGTTGCTATAGCCACGTCCAAAAAATGGATCCAATTTCTATTTCTCGCCAATTTGCCGAAACCATTCAATTTTCATAATTCTTCTTCTTCTTCTATCAGCCATTATTTGTTAGGCTGGCTCTGCTGGTTACAAGGCTAAGACGTCTCCAAGCTGCTTGGTCCGACGCTAGTAGTAATAGAAACCATTCCTTTTTCAATTAATTCCATACGTTCAATTTAATTTTCATTATTATTAAATTAGATGCAATTGCGATTTTACAATTTTCTTCGTACTTACGATAAATTGCAAAATTTTATAAATAGGTGAATAAATTTATGGATAATTCATAGTTCTACTTCTTAAACTTTTTTGTTTCAGTTTTATCAGGAAAAAACTCTCTCATATGCTGATATTTATCAGTATCAGTGGTCTTCTTTCTGGATAATCGTAAGAAGATAACAATTGTCTTTAACATTTTCTCATACTTAATGCAAAGTACTCAATTAATTGAATTTTTGAATTGAACTAATTGGATTTTCTAATCTGCCCAACGATACGTGAAACTTCTCTGCACATATTAAAACAACTCGATAGGACATTTGCAAAAAAGAATTGCGAAAGCAGCTATCAATTTCGTCGCTATAGCACCTCAGTTATCAGGAAAAGTCCAAATAAATATCGCTGCAATTGTGGTAGTATGATCGTTTAGAAGAAATAATAAAAATGGCACTTAAAGATTTGTTTCTCGCTTCAAAAGTGGCAGAGAGAATTGCTCTGTGGATAACTTTGCACTTCTCTCAAAAGGTTTAATTATCCCAGATTATGACAAATAATCCAGTTTAGAAAATTAGATTGATTCACTAAGAAAGAAGAAATGTGCAAGATAACGAATAATTCTTAAAAAAACGAGTAGTGTAATGTATTGAGTATAAAAAAATTTTAACGGAAGATGTGTATTTATCAACAAAAATTGATAAATTGATAAATTGATATTTTTTTAATTACCTTATTATTGTTTTTCTATCCCCTAATGTACCCTCATAGCCTGCATAACCTACCTAACCAGTGGCCACTGAGTATAAAATACGATATATACAATTATATTCAACTTCTATCAGATACCATCTGCAATAAGAGTATTATCATAAGGCGTTGACTGGTTAAGCTATGTCCTTTGTCCCCGATCTACTGACACATATCTCGCTATTTGCTAAACCTTATGATAGACGGTGTCAAAAAGGAGCAATCAAATTCTGAAATGATAAAGATCGGGGAAGATTTTGAAGATATATGTGGATATTGGTATATGTATTCAAACGATGGAAAAAGAAATGCCTTATATTTCTATCAGGTACTATCAGTGTAGAATCGAGTGGCTTAGAAACGTACCCTCGTAACCCACATAGTCAACCTAACCAATAATGTTGGCAGAAGATACATGATATTCTGTTTATTTCTGCAAATTTAGGCTTATGAAATTCTATAATCGCTATATAATCGCTATTTGATATAGCAGGTGAAATAATGGATAGCTTTTTTTGACTGTTTAACTAAGAAATTGATCTATTTGGACGATAAAAGTGACATCGCATATTTATTTTTATTTTTTTACATATTTTTTTATTTATGGTACTGAATACTAGAATGGATTGTCTGCTGAGGTGATTTCTGCAGATGCCTACTTTTATAAATATATTTAATATGAACATGGAGTATTATTTAATGGAAACTTCGGCCCATTTTGTCTGCTACAGTACTATATTTTTTTCTATTTTTGCTTATTATTTACTTTCTCATTTCTTATAAATATTGTGTTAATATTTTATGTTAATGTTGTTAATACAAGCAGTTTGGCTCTTGTTTGTTTAACCTAAATAAATAAATCCAATTTAAACCAATATTTTGCCAATATCATGAAAAAATATTTTTTTTATTTTTAAATAATAAGAACAATAAAGAAAACAATAAAAATTGAAAGAAAATAAGAAAAATAAAAATTAAAAGAATGAGTGAAATAATTTGATTTCTTTATTAAAATTATCAAAGGAATCGGCACCGTGTACAACATTTCTCGTATCTGATAAGGCAAATTTTTTCCGTAAATTCTCATTTGCGTTATTAGTTAAATAATGGCTCATTTTTGATGGTCCCATCAAGTTTCTCCATTTTTCTATTGCATTTCCATTATAATATAACTTCATTATTATCACTGGACCGCTGAAATTCTTAAATTTCTAAAATTTATTTTATATATATATATATATATTATATATCAAAATTATTTCTAAAGAAACAAATCTATAGAATGAATATTTCAAAAAATATTTTATGAAAAAAATAGGAACATTTAAAATTCAAAAAGAAAAGAGAAAAATTAATACCTCGTGATATGTTGAATAAGCCGCTCGTAAAAGAATTTGCCTTAAAATGAGAAAATAAATATTTTTTGCAAATTGTAAATTGAAAAATCTAAAGGGATCAAAAAAAAATAGAAATTCAAGGAATAAAAAATGGTGCAGAGAAATTTAAAAATTAGCGAAAAGCTTGCAAGAATATTAGAAATATTCATTATCGCTATATTCGGAATAATATCCTCAAAAAAAGCAATCACAGTGATAATGAAATGAGTGCCTACAGATTAGAAGATAAGCTATCAGTTCAGATAATCATATAAAATATGAAATGTTTAAATGTCATTACGCGATAAGTTGAATTCTCAAATAAGCAGCAAATGTAAGATGAATCGCAAATGAACTCAAATATTTACATAACAAATACATTCACAAAATATTGCAGCAAAAAGAATTTTCGAAAATACCAATCATTATTGTCTAAATGGCTTCGAATCGAAAGGCTTAGAAGCGGTTTACCAGAGTTAATAAAGTCAACGCAACCAATAATGGAAAATACAAAGAAGAATTATTGTCGAAGAGATTTCAATGAAACTCCATCCCAATATTTACGAGTTCGCTAAGCGATTTCAAAGAACTATGAAAAATTATATCTCCGATAAAATGAAAATTTTCAAATTCAAAATTAATAAATAAAAGTAGAAATTTAAAAGAATTATGTTTATGAGCAACGAGAATTCGCCGAAGATATATTAATTACTACCCGTTTCAAGTTCCGCGATTGACTGTAATTTACGAGTGTTGCAATGAATCCATTCGAATAAAATTGCTATTATTAAAAATAAAAGATATAACGGAGACAATAAACTATTAAAAGTCTTTTATTACTCTCTGTTTATAAAAAGAGCTTAAAAAAAGGCGATTAACAATTGTATAGGAAGAATTGAATCGGCAGAAATATTCATAGATATGGAGGAAACCCTCGAAAATTTCCGTTCTCACTTACAACTATAACTAAAACTGAAAGGGATGGTAAAGAATGATATAAAAGAGATCCAACTTGGAAGAAATAGTAAAATATAAGACTATAAAAGCACCGAATATATTGTACTGCAGCAATTGATACAACGAGCTGCAATTTTGAATAATGCAAGTTCGACGATGAAAAGCCTGCGAACAAGACAAATTGACAATGGACTTATTATAATAAAATATAAATAAATAAAAAATAATATAATAATATATAACTTGAAATAATATAATAATATATAATTAAAGACTTATTAAGAATTGTCAAATTGTAGTAAAATCCATGAAAAAAAAATAATATAACCCATTTTCAATCGCTCAGAATTATAAAAAAATTGAAAATATTAAATATTAATATTAATCGAAAATATTAAAAAATCTGTCAGTATGATTTTTATCCCTTAAGAAGAGTAAATCTGACCTGAAATCCGTTTAATATACCTAAAATCAAACAAACAAACAAAATTCAATTCTTCATTTTTTAATACGAAAAAATAAACCTTTATGAAGATTGTATAGTTTTTCAGTTAATTCTCGATTTAATAAAACTCGCTTTATAGCAATTATTTGAAAATTATTCGATTGGATTTCATTAAATATTTTCTAAAATTCCTTTTTTAAAAAAAGAAAAAAGCGGAGAAATAATAAGAAATAAACAAGAAATAAACAGAAAAAAAAAAATTTTCAAAAAATTTTCAATTAGTTTAAAAGTGGGTAACACACTGTGATCATTGAGGATATAAAACATTGCTAATATATATATATATATATATAATTATTATTATATAATATTATTTTGCTACGATTTTTTTTGTATATACTAACAATGGTTCTTGTGGTGGTAACAGTGCTGACTAATCTAAAGCATGTTCGCAACCGATTTTGCTTTATTAGATATATTAGATTATGGAATTTATACGTGGCTCTGAAGCAATCACAATCGTCCTTATACATTGAACCTGATCAAATCTCATAAATTCTCTATAAAAAAGTGCAGTACTTTTTTAATTGGACCTCTATACTTGATTTTTGAAGATATATTGGATTTTGGAGTTAATCCGAAAATTTGGGATGAAAATTCATAATTTCCATCTTAATTTCTAATTCATAATTTCAAATAAATTCATAATTAAATTTTCCACTTTCGCTGGATTAGTATTTTTTTAAGGATCCTCACCATTACTGGTTAAATTCGCTCCACTGGCTTATCACGTTGGGCAATATGCCATGGAGTTCATTGGCGATAGAAATACAGATGAGTCGCCAGCATCACCCGGTTTTTTGCACAGGTTTACTCCTGTGGGGAATCGAACCTCAACATCGGCGCTCCCAATTGAGCAACAACCCACTAAGCCATTCTACCTACTGAATTAGTATTAGGCAGTGTAAACAGCAAAATACTGGAGAGATTAATGTTTAACTATTATCTCAATAAAATTCGCTTTACAGCGATTATTTGGAAATTATTCGATTCAATTTCATTAAATATCTTGATCCAAACAATTTAGTACCATTAAATCATTAAGCAAAAGTCTACAGCTTTTTAGTTATTGGCTAATCTTCACAACCACTGATCAAAATTTAGCTGAAGCTTTCGATACAATTCAGTGGAACAATAATCTTAAAAATATTTTTTTAGCGCTTAAACCCAAGCCTCTCCTCGAATTATAAATTTCCAAACATCTAAAGTTATGTAAATTTGATTGATAGTATTTTCTGAGATAATATTGAATAAGATTTGATAAAATTATTCAGCATTCTATTAACAAGTCTCACCATTTTTGCTCTGGCAGATTCTACTGACCAGGTTCAGACTCATCTATCACAAATATTACTAGGTTCAAATAAACAGGCAAGATCATCGAGTATTGTACTGTTCTGCTTGAGATGGTCGATTCTATCCATTCGATTCACAGTAAATCTTTTATTGAAAATGAAATCCAGATGTGTTTTTTAAAATAATACTCATCATTGCTAGTTAGACTCCCTCCTTTCGTTTATTATACCAAAGAAGTCTCATGGCGATAGAAGCACAACTGAGTTGCTAGCATCATCCGGATTTTTGGACAGATTTACTCCTACTAGGACTTCACCATCGGCGATCCGAAACAATCCCACTAAGCCATTCTATTCTCTTGCTTTTCTCTCAGGTAACAGACACTGCGGTTCGACAACGAGTGGTGTATTGGCGGATTCGAATCCAAACCTCGATTCTCGTAAATTTAAATTTTAGATTTTGGATTTTGGCTTAAATTTTGGTAGCAAATTTTGGCTCTACTGAACCATCGATGAAAATCGGTGTTATTAACCACGAGTATTTCTGCCCTCAAGTGACTCTCTTTTGTGAAACCTAATAACCTCAGTCGGATCGAATGTAAATCGAGTTTGCTAACCCTTAGTCGAGGTAACAAATAATTCAACCGATGTCATCAGAAGATTAAAAATTTTAGAATTTTTAGAAATTTAAAATTAAAAAAGAAAAACAAACCTTTACAATGTATGGAAATATTGAAATTTCAGGTTTAATCATTGCAAATGTGAAAAAATTTCGATTTGTTTTGGTAGAAATTTCAATAAAACACATTTTTCTTCTCCTTTTTTACTTCAAAAAAAACTTCATTAAAGAAATAAAATTTGTTTATTAAATCCAATTTTTTTTAATTGATTTTTTTATTCCAGTTTCTATTTTTTATGTTATAAATTTTTCATTGTATGAATTTTATTATAATTTTTGTTTTTAAAAATATTTTCTCAGTGAAAATTCTCCGTGAAAATGGACAATTGCTCGCAAACAACAATGTCATTTGCTTGCGACCTAGAAAACTATCCATGCTTTACATTTAAAATTCAATTTCACTAATTCGAAACGCATAAAAATTTTTCCGGTAAATTTTTCTTGTAAAATAAAGGAAAACTAACCAATTAAATAAATTTTTATGAGCAAAAATAATTCGTTGACGATTGAAAACAATTCGTTACGAAAACGAAAAAAATCTTTACAACTCTGTTACGAAAGATTCGCAAACATTTGGACATTTATCAGAAAAATCAGCGTCGTTCGCGATGATTAGACAGTATTCTTCGTCGCCTATGAACCAATGCCAGTAAAGAAGTTTAGCTGAAATTAGGATGCAGAAGAGATTTTGGACTCATAGACGGCCAAGTAAAACAGATTTTGTCGATGGAAAAAAGGGCGATTGGTTATTTTAAGATACGGTTTGGGAAAAGCATCTCTTCAGTAATTCAGTGAAGTCAGCCGAATCAGAAGTCAGAAGTTTTATTTAAAATTTCAGCTGCTGGCGAAAAATTCAAAGAAAATCACGTTGATTGCCACAAAATAAGGCTTAAAATAAAATGTGATAGAGGCAATAGCGAGCATTTTTCCGACTGGAGCCGCTGCTTAAGGGCTTATTAAAATCAAAAGCACTTCTAATTCAACAAGCAGCTGCACATCAGTTGCATATGTCGATAGTAAACTGGCTGTAATTAAAGGAAATTTGAATTAGAAGCGAAAAATTGCTTTCTAAAGATTGACCTGAAGATTGGTGAATGCTCGCGAGTTTCAAATTTATTCTTTATTTCGCGGATTTTATCTTCTATTTCCAATGCTTTTCATTTAGTTCTCGGGTATTTTTATTTTTCTCGAGTATTTTTAGTATTTTGATTTTTCTTCGTGGAAACTGATCATTAATTTAATCAATTAACAGTTTTATGTTAGAATCTTTCACAGAAACGTTGTAGTCGAACTCTCCTCAAATTCGCGATTGTCATATTTTATAATAACGGCGAGAAGATAAAAATTTTGGATAAAGAAAAATTAA